CTCATCTGCACCACAAATGGTTAGCACAAACTGGAAAATGAGAAGCTGCAGTGCTTAAATGCTGTCAGTTAAATTTGAAGTCTTCAGTGGTCAACGGAAAATGAGCATGTAATATTAAATTCCAGGTTCTGCACATTGTTCTGTTCTGCCAGAGTGTGTGTGATTACATTCAGCCAACTTTCCATCTGCCACGACCATCGAATATAATTCTGTCATGGGATAATAGCAGAGCTCTGTTCATGTTGGACTGGCTGCTAGGACCCAAACTATAATTAATAAGCAAATAAGTACTTATGAAACAAAAGTTCCAGCTGGCAAGATTTCATGCACTGAGAATCTCAGGCAGTGTGTTCTTACTTAGCTGTCCATTTTGTGGAAGGTAAATTCGTCTCACCTCATAGTTCATAAGTAAATTTCACTGAAGCTCTTTATCTTTAGTATTATACTTTTAAAATTAATACTGCAATTAATTTTTAAAGTATTACTAACTTTTATTTCTTTATGGATGTTCAACCACTGTGGGTAATCTTCAGCTGATCTCTTATTAGGATGGCACTAGAGCACTGGATTATATGTTTAGTAATTTAAGGTGCATGTGACTTGGTATCACCATCCATAAGGACTGATATTTACTGTGTAGTAACATTCATCCTGGTATCTATAGGCATATCTAATATCTGAAAATGCTTTTTTTGTCTTTGTGTCAAATTTCTTCTAAAAGTGAACAACTACAAGGCTATATTTCTGCGTCTGGAGATTGGCAATTTCTGTGTGTTTTCCTTTGAAGTACCAAAGTACAATTTTGAAGCATATAATAATTTTTAAAGCTTTTATTTAAGAATCCTGTGCTCAACAGTTACATTCTCAAATATTATGTTAAGCTGGTGGGAACTGCAGGCCCTAAGAAGTGCATCTTGTAGAGATTATGAGAAAGAAAGAACATAAAGAGCAGAAGATTAGACATCTTCTCCCCTTTATGTTTCAGTAGCTATGTCTACCTCTCTCAGTGACAAGGAATCTTAGAAAGAAAGTAGAATATAGAAATAGAAATAGAAGATAACCGTAAGTTTTTTCTGCCTATCTACAGCTAAAGATTAGAGGAGTTCTGTGTAAATTCTACCTGCAAACAGCTGTCTAGTACCCAAGCCTGCTAACACTTGTTGGTCAACAGATATCTGAAGATACTAGAAAGAAAGTTCGAAATTAAGTGTTTGCAGAGCTCTGTATGTTCACTGCCTCTGGCACAGAACTGTTGTTTTCTAAGCAGCTCCCTTTTTTCGTTACTTGTGAAGCATTGTGATGAGAGTTGTTCTCTAGTCTTTCTCAAGTTTCTCAAATTAACTTCTTTCTTATCGCTGCTTTTTCTGAATTTTTCCTGCTGTGTTCATGCTCCTGAATTTCAAGATGGAACTATTTGGACAGCCTTCAATATATCAGTTCTGATTTCTGTTTGGTATCGTAAGGTCTGCCTGTACCTCTCTATCATCTACATTTTCGAAGTGTAGTTTACTTGCCTTTTCTTTTGTTTCTTACCTCCTTTTTGAGATAAACCCTACAAGAAGTGAAAAAAAATTCTTGCATCTCCTTGAATAGCAGAATGGAAGAGTAGGGAGAGCAGAGAGCAGAATCCATGAGAACAGAAACAGAGATTGGAAACCAGCAGCACAGAAGAGATGTAAGCTGCCCAGTGGGAGGGAATGTGGTGCTAATTTAGGGAAGAGCCTGGTACTTGCTAGTTCAGGAAGTTTTCAGTACAAAGCCTGTGCGTCCATCCTTCGCTCTTGTGTCTCAGAAGGGATGTGCATATTGCATACCTGGGTGGTCCTTGCGACTGACATGGAAGGCAAAGTTCTTAAGCAGTTAGTGAGGGAAAGGACTATAGGTTTCACTTTTCCCAAAGAGCAGCAGTGGAGAATTGGAGTCTGGGAGGTGTGCTGAAGAAGAGAGAGCAGGAGACACTGCTGGAGGCTGTTCGGACTGAGGGAGTGAAGAAGCAGGTCAGTCTGCAGGCTGCAGGCACTGAGCCTGGGAACATCCATCCACACCATCTGGGGCACAGAAATAACCTGATGGCGTTGAACTTCAAACACTGCAGCCTTTCTGAATGTCCAGCTCTGGCAGATGTACTGGCTTCTGTGAGATAAGTGTGTTGCTGTAGTCCAGGACCCATTCAGCAGACTTATGTGTTGCTACTGCCAGGTAGAGAGTACAATTGCTATTATAAATGCTGTTCTCAGGACATTATTATCTCTAGACAGCTGCTGCTTTTGTGAAGTGTTCATACAAATTAGTGTTTATTATAGTTACCTAGTTAAAAAGGTGTAGCTGATGCAGTTTAGTCTAATTGCAAGCATCATAGAACATTTTATTCCTCTTCTCCCTGCCCTGCACAGATGCCTGAATAAAGTTTGAAGTAACTTTCAGTACTACCTCAAAAATACTACCTTCTTGAGAAACTTACTGTTTGTGGGGAGCACTTAGTAATTAATCTAAGGTATGCTATAGTTAACCTTTGCTTTTCTTCTTTCAGGTCTTGGGTTAGATTCAGATGAACTTCCTGTTCAGATGAGTGTTTCCGACTGGCCTGAAATGAAGAAAAAATTTGCATCCATATTTGCACAGAAGACACAGGCTGAGTGGTGCAGCATATTTGATGGTACTGATGCCTGTGTGACCCCTGTTTTATCCCTCAATGATGTTGCCTCAGATCAGCATAACAAACAAAGAAATTCTTTTATCAAAAATGATCGGGGAGAGATAAGTCCTAGACCTGCTCCTCTTTTATCAAGGACTCCTGCTGTTCCTTTGTGTGAAAGAGATCCTTTTATAGGAGAACACACAGAAGAGATACTTCTAGAAAATGGGTTTACTAAGCAAGAGATTGCTAAACTTCATTCTGATAAAATAATAGGATTCAGTAAACCCAAAGCTAATTTATAATCTCTGACTGTGCATATCACACAAATTTAAGGCTGATAGAGTAACTTCTTATGCATTAAAATTGAATTATATGACAAATGAATGTTTGCATAATATTGTTTTTACATAATATATATTTTTTAATTATTTAAATTTTAAGTATAATTGAAAACACTGGGAGTTATCTACATGGATCATCTACTGTCCAGAATGAGATGATAATTGTGTTCTGAAGATCTACACAGTCTGTTTAGTAAGCACCTGTACATTCTCAGAATTTTTGTTTAAATATTGAATCCTGTGGCTTGTTTCTTTTAATTCTTAGCTGCATCATTGCTTTGTAATATATGTTGTAATTACATGAAGGCAATACTTTTAATAAAATTTAATTATAATCTTTGTAAATGAATTTGTTGTTTACTCAGAGATTACAAAGGATTTTTTCCTCTATTTTATCATATTAATTAATTTGCTTTATCATGCCAAAGTTATGGTCAAATTAATGCTGTTTGCTTATGTGCTGCTGCAGAGCTATTACCATAAAGTTAATCTGTTTAATAGCCTGGCTACATTTTCTCAATGCAGTCTCCTGATTACATTACATTTGGAACTTCAATTTGGCTAGAAACTCACTTCAGAATGACTTTTGTTTTTAAAATACCTGCCAAGTATTATTCGTTTCCTTTCTTTATGGAAAAGTTGGCGACTTAGCTGCACAGGTTTTTAACAATGGTTATTCTCTATTGGGTTTAATTTCCTTCAAAATCAAACCATCATTTGAAACCATTTTTTTCAAGGCAAAAGAAAATACACTTTTAAGAAGAATTAGTTATATGACTTTAATACAGTATTCTCTAGTCCAGCATGTGAGAAATTATGGCATGAAAAGTTGGGGCTTTTTCATAATTTTGTCTGCATTTTGCTGAGGATTAGTTTGTTGCTTACAAAGGCTTCCAAAACTGAGGTATACCTCAGCTCATTTTGTATCATGGCAAAACTGTCAGCATTATTACCATAAAAAACCCCTTTACATCCTATTACGTGAACACCTTCCTGAAAGCAAGAATTGTCTAGTAGGTCCTGTAAAATTATCTAAACAACGAGCAAAAGCAACTTATGTTTCCAGCTGATACTCACTCTAATCTGAATTACTGAGTATTATACACCTTTATGGTAGGATTTGACAGTTTTCTTAGTCCCAGGTACATCTGCTCATGTTGGAGAAAAGTCAGCGCTGTCAAATGTAATAATCTCCATGGCACATAAGTTTTGACCCCAGAATCATCAATTTAAAAATTCATATTACTTCAGCACAGGTTGGATCAGTTGCCTCACTTGTGTGGCTACATCTGAAAGGTCCAGTTTGAGTGTGTCACTGTGGATTTCTTGTGGGGCCTTCCCTTGGCAGGTAAGACTGTTTTAAAAAAAAACAACTAAGTGATCCTGACATCCCAGCCAAAACCAGCACACCTTTGTTTTCAGAAACCAAGGAAATAATCAGTTCTTCTGAGGGTAGTAGACAGCAGATGCAAAAATATACTTACCAGTTGCTGTTTGACAGACTTCTGTCAAGCTTTTTATCTGTCACTAATGCAGTGAGAAGGTTCACTTACTCATCTTCATGAAGTGCATTGAAATCCTTTCCTGGACACATACAGATTTTTTTTCTCAGCAGGAAATCGGCACTCTGATGTTCATATTTGCTGAATGTAAAGATGAGGGCTCTAGATTCCTAGTATCGCTGCTGTCCTACAACAGCAAGAGGAATAGCTTTGTGTCAGGCTAATCCTGCGCCCTGACCATGTGATGTATGTTCCCGTTATATGTGTGCTTCATGCGTAAACAGTAATTCCTTAGTTGTGGATAGTTGGGAGCTGTGCAGACGCCCAAGAGCTCAGATCTGCTAATGTTAACACACACTTCCCCGCCCCCTTCCTGGCATAACTTGTGATCGCAGAGCCATGAAAGTATGTGAGTCCCTCCCCCAGCACAGACCGATCCCACCCGGCATATGACCTGGGCCCCATGTCAGCCAGAGCAGGCAGCACCGACCTGCCACAGCGCCGTGCGCAGCCGGAGCAATGACCTTAACGAAAGAGAGCTTCCACAGGGCTCCTCCACCCGCTTCTGAAGTGGTCAAGGCCGACATGGACAGCACCAGAGAGAAGGAGGAGGCTCCGGGGCAGTCAGTGCCGAGGACTGGAGCAGTGGTGCCCAGGAAGCGAGCGGTGGGAAGGCTGGTCATGCACAGTATGGCGATGTTCGGCCGGGAGTTCTGCTATGCCGTGGAGGCCGCCTTTGTCACGCCGGTGCTGCTCAGTGTAGGGCTGCCCAAGAACCTCTACAGCCTGGTGTGGCTCATCAGCCCTATCCTGGGCTTCGTGCTGCAGCCCGTGGTAGGTTCAGCCAGTGATCACTGCACCTGTAGCTGGGGCAGGAGGCGACCTTACATTCTGGGTCTAGGCATCATAATGCTGTTAGGCATGGCTTTGTACCTCAATGGGGACGTGATGATCTCAGGTGAGTGAGGGGCATGCACTGTGCTGACAGACAAAACTCATCCTTAGCCTTTTGAATCACAAAAAAAAGAGGGGTTCCTCTTTTCCTTCTTAGAATGGACTATTAAAATTGAGCATCATGTGACTCAGCTGCATTGAAGGAGCTGGGGAGCGCTGAAATCTTCATATACATTCAATTCTAATGCTGCATGTTATGTACCATATCCATAGTGTTCTGTAGTTTGTGTGTGTGATTACAGTCTTTGGTTGCCTGATAAGCTCGTACAAGTAAAGATTTGCTTAGGCCCATAGAAGTTTTTATGAACTAAGATCTACATTATTAGCTTAAATGATAATAATTGTTTTTGTGATGTAATACACATCCAAACTGAATATCTATCTGTTAATCCTGATTTTTGGTGGATTAGCAATCAAAATATGTATCTTTAGTTATTGCAGCACTGGAGACTTTGTTATGCTGGTGAATAACAGAAGTCTTTAACTCCTTGGAAGTCCTGTTGCACCTGAAATATGCAAAATTAAATAGAAATGACATGCCCAGAGACTGTTATATTTCAGCTTGGGATGTAACTTCTTAAAGTCTTGATGAAAAGTTGTTGCTGATGTTATGACTTGGCAGATGGGGGAGGTGTGTGTTTTTAGGTTGATTTATTCTCTCTTCCTGCATATCCCTGATGTTGAATATACTTGATTTCATTTGCCCAGAAAGAGACGTTGCAGTCAACTCTTGATTATCTAAAACAATGGAAGGGTGGGAGAAATAGAAAAAAACCCCAAAAGTACAACAAAATGCATGTGTTAGGCTACCAGAGCATGCCATGGAAGTGTATAGGATTAAGGATAGTGATGCTCTTGGTTGTGGAGCTTGGAGCACCCTGAGCATGTGCTGACTCAAGGCAGTAAGTCAACGTAGCACATCTCAGTGCTACACATACTCAGTTCTCCTGCTTCTCTGATCTAATTCTGGTGTCACTGTTCTCTCTTGCATAACCAGTCATTGTTTAGATTTGGAGGTATCAGGAAAGGTAAAATGTGGTTTTGCAGAACATGGCACTGCTGCTGTCAGAATGAGGGTGTTTTTCTTTTTGTAGCTTTCATCGAGGAGAATGAAAAGCAGCGGACGTGGGCAATAGTCGTTACCATGCTGGGAGTAGTGCTTTTTGATTTTGCAGCTGATTTTATTGATGGCCCCATCAAAGCGTATTTATTTGATGTCTGCTCTCATCAGGATAAAGAGAAGGGTCTGCATTACCACGCCCTCTTTACAGGTACTCAGATCCCTTCTTTTCCTCCCTTCCTCTTGAAGGAGGGGAAGGTAATTGCATGGATTTTATCCTCCCTGTGTTTCTACTCTTGAATGAACTGATCATCTGATCCTGCACTTCAGTCACGAGTCTTTTGTTGCTGGGTTTTCACTACTCCAGGGAACAGCAACTTGTGATTACTGCTGCAAGAATTCTGATGCAGAAGGCTGCAGGCATAAACAATTACAGTAACATAGCCATGATTTAAGTGAGAGCAGTTAATTATTTTAAAAATTGAAGTACAGTTTATTCAGATTGTTTTGATTTTTTTTCAATTTTTTTGTGAAGCAAAAATTAATGAGTGTAACTTGTTTCCCTGCTACGGCACATAAAAATAACATTTTTGACTTGGCATGTGACAGAAAGCAAGAGCTGCACAAACCAGACTAGTTGATTCCTATTCTTCAGCAGTGCTATGTAGAAATAGGAGTTCTGTGTTAAATTCAGAACTTCACAACTTCCACAAAATAGGACCAAGTGGTTCAGTCCAGGCTCTTGAAAATAAAATTAGCGGTTTCATTTGTCTTTGTACATGTTTGGAATGCTGCTGATTTACAGAAGGATATGGAACTGTTGGAGCGAGTCCAGAGGAGGTCCACAAAGTTGATAAGAGGACTGGGGCAACTCCCCTACAAAGACACGCTGAGAAGCTTGTGGCTGTTCAGTCTAGAGAAGAGAAGGTTGTGTGGAGATCTCACAGCAACCTTCCAGTATCTGAAAGGGCTCACAGGGAAGCTGGAGAGGGACTCTTAATTGAGATAAGTCAAGGAATAATTGGTACAAATTGAAAGAGGGGAAATTTAGGTTAGATATTAGGATGAAATTCTTTACTGTGAGGGTAGTGAGGCAGTGGAATAGGTTGCCCAGAGAAGCTGTGGATGCCCCAACCCCAGCAGTGTTCAAGGCCAGGTTGGATAAGGCCTTGAGCAGCCTGGTGTAGTGGGAGGTGTCCCTCCCTATGGCAGAGGGGTTTGGGACTAGGTGAACTTTAAGGTCCATTACAACCCCTTAACATTCTGTGATTCTATGAAATCATCTGCAGTACGTGAGCCCTGTGTTGATACAAGATACACAAGGCTTTATACATGTAAAGTGCATTGGGAAGATCTGAGTGACTGTGAAAGGACTAGACAAAAAGCAGACTACATGAGAAATCATGCCATCTGTGTTAAAGCAGATGTTTGTGGCTGCTGAGCCACACCAAAAGCAGAGCCATATAGATCCAGTAGCAGTTACTCTGCTCAAGGAGGGAGCTGTAGTAGCTATTGACAACAGGCTGATTTTGGACAAATGTAATACCTGTGTTCAGGAACACAAATTTTAAGCGAACCTTAAAGGCACATGGAAGCGAAATCAGTATTGTCCATTACAAACTGACAGATAAGATTTCAAAGAATCACTTGTTTGAACAGAGAGAGAAATGAGTCTCTATGTATATTTTTGCCTTCAGCAGAAATCTGGTTGCAATTTTTCCTTGGCTCCAAATTTGGATCTGATTCATTTGTGTACTAAGCTGTGAAAAGGGATGGGGGACAAATAATACCAAATAAAACTGGGACAGATTGCATGGCAGGATCCAACACCTGTGCTCTCTGTAACAAGTTCGTTTGTGTCTTAACCCTTCCTAAATGAGAATTCCCTGGTCTGTTCTTGAAATCTCCCTTGACGAGGGTTCTACAGCCCTCCCAAGGCAGTTTGTTGCAGCTCTTCACTGGACTAGGTATTAGACAGTTTTCCCTAAAATCTAATCTTAATACCCATTCTGTACAGTTCATAATTCTTTTTTTTATCCCAATTAGACATAGACAGCACTCTTCCCATTTCTTTTGTAGTTTCTGTCTGAGATATTATTTTGTTTCCCCACTTTGGTTCCTTGCCTTTATACTAAACATCTCTAGGACTTTACCCTCCAGTTTGTCTTCAGTTTGAACATGTTATGAAACCTATAGCCACTGAGACAAGCGGAAGGAACAGTTCACGCATCCAACATACGACATTTAGGCTACATTCCAATATCATGATTCTTTTTTTCAAACAGTATGTGCAAACAACCTCAAATGTCAAGTATTCTCTCTGCAAACAAATACTGCAAACATGTAGTGCAAATTTTCTTCAAAAAGTTATTAAAAACTTAATTGTTTTTCATGAAACAAGCAAGGATACAGTGCACTGTGAAATACCATAGGACACAGTGAAGGAGGGCCATAGTCAGACTCAGGAGGGGGGGGGAAGTACAGAAAGTGCAGAATGAAGTCAAAATCCCACATTTTGTAGGTGCTGTTACTTTCTGTTAGAGTGGTTTTACTGTATACTGTCATCAGGTCTCCTAAGCAGAGGAGTAGAAATGCTTGCAAGTCCTTCAAAAGCCTGTGGGACTCCCACACATCCTGAAGAGCCAGCTGGTTAGCAAGGTGTCAGAACTCTACGAAGCTGCTGCCCCTACCAGAGCACTGCACTGAATGTGACAGTGTGCACTTTCTTGTGCATATCTCTGTGCAGTCATAGCAAAAAAAGAAATTAAAAAAAAAATAAAAAACTGAATGCTGGGTTTATTAACTTCAAAGCACAAGGTAACATTCTCATTTTACCTTTTAGTCTACCTTTTATGATAAAATCAGTAAATAGAATTAACTTTTTGTTTTGTATTCCAAGTGGTGAGGGACTTGGATTTGTAAAATTACACCCCAATGCTTTTGGGTTTATTTCCTTTTTAAAAAAAATTTCACGTGGAGGAAGTATTTCTGTTTAGACAAAGCAATACAAAATGCATTTTACAAAGTCTAAACTGTAGATAGTCTTGATGTAATTCAAAAAATGTTTGTTGGTTTTGTGAAATTTAAAAAACCCCAAACTATACATTTCAGTGTAATTCTATTTTGCTTTACTTGCATTACTTACTGCTTCAAAGAAAACAGAGCTTCAAAGAGTCAAGAAAAGAGATGTTTCTGTATGTTCAGGCATTTTCCGGAGAGCTCGGTCTACCAGATCTGAGATTTTTCAAGAAATGTTTTAGTAACTATTCATGTATGTGATTAGCTTACTATTCCTATTTCTTGTGATTAATATCTGAAAAGTGATTATTTCATCATTTCTAGAGGAGGTCACATGTTGGGGGTATGGGGTACTCTGTTTACTTTATCGATGCCAGTAGATTTTCATTTTTTTTCCCCACCATTATAGGTTTGGGAGGAGCCCTGGGTTACCTGACAGGTGCTATGGATTGGGGTCAGACTGTACTAGGATATTCCTTGGCATCAGAATTCCAGGTGATTTTCCTCTTCGCAGCCTTGGTTTTCATAATCTGCCTTACCGTGCATCTGTGCAGTATTCCTGAAGTCCCACTCAGATACAAAAATGAAGAGGCAAAGTTCTTGTTGGAAGTGACTGAATCCCATACATATAGCTCCATAGAGGAGGAAATCAAGAATGGATGCTTAAAATCAACATGCACTGAAACAAAGGCTGCAGCTAAACCAGGGAAATGCGCAGTTGCATCACAGGTGAGTGCAGAGGTGATTTTGTGGGAAGTATCATTGCATCCTTAGAGACCCTTTAATTAGCTAATGCTGACTAGTTGTAATGGAACCCTTCCATGTGCACAGAAAAAGAATCTTCCACCAGGATACAGAGTGAGAAAGCCTGCTTTTTTTTTTTTCTTTGCTTTTTTTTTGCTTTTTTTTTTTTTTTTGGCTTAGAAAGAACTGCCAGCAAGAGGGATGAGACAGGCTATTCCCAATGCTTTGGTCAATTGGAAGGGATGAGGGAGAACCAGGTTCAGTCTTTTGCTCTGTGTCAGTCTCTTGATATGCTCCCTATGTGAATTTTGAAAAGAGGATCTACTCTATCCTTTAGTCATGATATAATTAACATCAAATTGTGAACAGCGACTACGGATCACTGATCTGTAATTCCCACTGAAGTCCAAACACTTTCATACATAGCACATAATAAGTGTGTGCTCTCTGGTCTAGTAAACATTTGGGTTTGCCACTGGACAACATTTCACTAAGGATCTATTGAGAGTACAAATGTGTTTAAAATGTCTACTTCTACAGCAATGCAACCTTGTTACCAGAGTTTTATTTTTACTTTGAAGTGGTGTAGCTGTGTCTTTGCAAAACTTTAAGGTGGGAGAGAATAGTGAGTACTTTCAAATCCTTACTGTTACTTTGTTTCTGCTGCATTTTTATGAGAGGCTGATTTAATCTAAGGGAACTAGGAGAAGGTCAATCTAACAGGGAGCTTATCTCTAGAATGGTCTTGGGAATATTTGGGATAGTTTTTACTGTTTTTTGATGGATTTTAGTGCTAGGAATGGCTCTCATGGTACCCTAAGTAAGCCATGGATAACAAAACCAATTGCTTGAGCAGATGAAACACTTGCTTTTTGCTTTAATTTCACCTTTGATCTCTTGGCATTACTATATCCATCCCTGATAAAAGTTTGATAAATTAGGTTAAAAGTACCAAGCATGTGAAGATGGTTATAAGTTAGAAACCTATACTCATGTTTCAGCCATAAATAAAAGGGATTTATTATATTTTTGTAATTCTTTTTATAACTGCACTTGGTATTTCTAACTTGAAGGAAAAAGACTATTACACTAGATATAAACAAAGGTATGTAAGGTGAACATTGCCTGTTGAGAGCTCCAGGCAAACGCAGAGAGAGGCAGACAACAAGGCAATAGTTGTCTGGAGAGTATGTCCAGCACACTGTGATGCTGTCTGACCTTCCCCACTGTAGGCCAGCTTGAGCAGCCAGCATCCTGCACCAGCACTGTTCCCTCTGAGCATCCTCCGAATGGTTGGAGATGCTGAGTGTCATTGATTGCTTGGACTATGTGGGCTCTGAGGAGAGGAAGGCAAGTGAAGAAAAGAGAGCAATGCAGTGAAAGTATGGGGATCAGGCTGTGGATTGGGGTAGCCTCTGCCTTTGCAAGAACTAATTCCATAGAATCAGTAACATCTAAGACCCAAGGGGAAGCTCTGGTATCCGTCAGTGAGCTTGTGCCATTTACCTCCTCTCTGATTTGGCTGGGCAGCCTGTTAGAGTCTCACGGTGCTTTGATCTTTGATGTGCCTAAGTGTGTATAAATTCTAGACACTCACTGCCTTAATTGTCTGTCTCTTGTGGTACATGTTTTCTGATTCATTCATTACTTTAATTGCTTCCTTAAAGAAATGATTTGGCTTCCTGTTTTTCTGACTCTTTTTTTGTGATTGCAGGCATCATGGCCCTCTATCTTCTAAATTAAGGACTGTGCTCTCACATGCTAATAGCTAACATGATTATTAATATGATTTGACCTGTTGCAGTATGAACAGACATCCAAAGTGATTAGCCTTGTTTTCTTCTGCCTGGTGCCAGATTACTCAGGGTCCACTGGCATAATACCCAAGTCATGTTGATTTTTCTGTATCCTTATAAATCATCTTGTGCCTTGAGTTGTAGTGAATTGACACTGAAGATTATTTAGTACTGTGAGTTTTTGAAGGATAAAGCACTTAAACAAAGCCAAACTTCACCCCATCATTTAAATTAGCATGTGGTTTGTGTGTCGGTGCATATTAAATGTGCACATTAAACATTTTAGTTTCCATTTCCAGTCTCTAAAACATCTAAATAGAAAGTAAGCATTTCTATCTAGCTGTCAACTTATTGTTCATAATCACAGCAGTGCCTTTTGCAGTTCCATGACCTTAAGTTAACACTTCGATTGGAAAGGCTGTTTTAAAGAACTCTCTGGAAGAGTTAATAAACTAAATAAGCCAGGTAAAAAGATAGTAATTATCCTAGAAATAACATTAATGAGTCAATGTGGAACTTTTAGTTTGTTTTTTTTTTTTTTTTTTGAATTGTAAAAGAATATAAACCTTACCCAGTTTAAAAGAGACAGTGATGCCAAGAGAAATTCCAAGGGATTTGGACAATATGTAGTTCAAGGTGAAAGTCAGCAACTTGAATTTTGGCATTCCTATGAGGATTAAAAACCTCCCACTAAAGCAAAGTATTTTCCAACTTTATATGCGGTGATTATTCATAGAGTAGCTTGCAGCATAACCCAGTTCAAATGAAAGAAGAATTGCAGAAAGTAACAACAACATTGAAAGAAGAAAGGAAAAAATGACATCTTACAGCAAAGTGAAGACAAAATTTAGTCCAGTAATTTCCAGTAATTAACATAACTTCTACAGTTCTTCCACATTTCACAACCATACAGCTTCCCTTACCATCTCTCCCCACACTCTTGTCTACAAAAAATATGAGAGAAAACTGGAAGTGTTCCGTTGTGCACAGATAAAATAGCATTTTTTTTTAATTTAAAAGCAAGAAACCCCTCAGGACCTTTAATGTAGGAAGAATTACATGTCAAAATACCTACAGTAATAAAAAAAATTTTTAAAATTACATAAGTGATCTGATGAATGTGACTGGAAAAGAAACTTAGAGAAAGTTTTAGGACACAGGGCTGAGATAAAGAGGAGGGAGATAACATGAGGCATTGAAGGTGATGAGAAATGTGGTTTTTCCCCATCAGTGAGATTTGTTAACCAGCACCAATAATGTTTTGATTTTGAGTTATTTCTCCCATGGTATGAGGTATTCAGATTCTGGAGCTCACATTCTCTGGGTGCCAGGATTTTGAGTGGTGCTGCATCTCCTGTGGTGAATCACAGCTTTCCCTGCTTCGTGCAAGGGGGGACAGTACATAATGGAAATCTCATGATATGCCTGAAGAGTAGAAGTTTCCCTAGAAAAAGAATTTTTCTAGGGAATTTAGCACATAAAATGGAATGGGAAAGAGGTCCCAGAAATGTTTAGAAATCCACAGGCGATGTCAAAATGTATTAAATTTTCAATGTAAAGCTGATTGTTGTCCATAAAGAAATAAATTTTGTTCCTGGTTGCTTTTGCTATTGTGCTTCATTGATTTTTTTGTTTATTTTGGTTTGGTTTTGGTTTTTTGTTTGTTTTTATTTTGTTTTGGAGTTTTGTTTTGTTTTGTGGTTTTGTGGTGGGTTTTTTTTCTGTTTGTTTTTTATTTTTGTTTAAACTCCCTGAATCTGTTTCAGTATAACATTTTTCTGTGGTACTACACATAAATATTAATCCTGCTGATCATAACAGCAAGAAATATTACTTCCTTTTTGGTATACCCCAGCTCTTCTAGAGTTTCTGTGAATTTTATATATTGAAGGACATTTAGTACACAAACAACTCTTTCCTAGCAAAAAGTAAAAAACTTTGGAAGCCTAACAATGAAAAGATACTAAGACCTTCTTCATTTGCTATCATCCATTTTATTAGCCTTCAGGGCAATAATACAGTAATTATTCTTAAATATTTGTTTTTAGGATCAAAGGCAGATGACCCTTAAATCACTCTTGAAGACACTTTTAAACATGCCATCCCACTATCGCTGTCTGTGTGTGAGCCACCTCTTTGGATGGATGGCTTTTCTGTCCAACATGCTCTTCTTCACGGATTTCATGGGACAGGTAAAAGTGTAAAATCCTTTCTCTTCTGCTTCCTAGTAGCATCACCTCCTCCATCAAAAAGAAATTAAACGGTGTTATGATCCTGCAGAAATGAGGTTGGTGTCAGATCCATTTGTATCTGGATGGCTCAACAAGAGTTTTGTAAAACACCAAATTGAGGTCAGGGCCTTGTTCTGAGCCAGTCTGTTGAATTGTTGGGGAAAAAGCTTTCAGTATTTGCAAGGCTGTTTTTGTCTATTTAACTGTTCCAAATGAAGCTCTCAGAGCTCATCCAAACACAGCTATTTTCTACACTGGCTTCAGAGCTGCTCTGAGATGGGCAGGCTTTCTAACTGGAGCCACGCTTGGATGCAGCTGGCCTCATCCTGGTGCTTGGGCACCGTCCACACAAAGCCATTCCCCTGCACTGCAGCCTCCTTGGCCTTAGTCTGTGCAGCTCTTTCCACACACTGAGATACTTGGTAGCAGAAAGCTTTTGTGTTCTTGAGTTTATCTGTCCCTCCTCTGTAAATCTTTCCCTGAGGCCCTTTTGCCAGCAACTGTTTGCCTTCGTAATACCCAGTGCTCCCTTTGCCATGCCATTCCTGGGCAGAAAGACTGTATGCCCTTGACAGCGATTCTTGCCTAAATGAACCTGTCTGACTTCTTTCTTTCAGAGTACTAATGTGCCCCCAGCACAAATCCACTCATTGCCACTTCCTTTTTTTTCCTGTGGTTTCCATGCAGTATTCCCATTTCCCTTGCCATTTTTGTCTTTTTAGGCAAGACAAGAGGTTTTTTCCCCCTGTAGTATGTATGAATGACTGAAAGAAAAAAGTTTTTCTTGTCTAGATACAGAACTGAGTAAGACCATTACTGTGTGGAAAAATTAATGTATTGAGATAAGCCTGAAAGAAAAAATAAAAAAAAATAATTTGTAGATAAATTAAGGAAAGAAAGGCTAAGGAAAGAAGGAAGAAATGAAGAGAGGATATGGGAAGTGAGACACCCAAAGGAAAAAAGCAAATGCATCAATGTGGAATGCACGGTTCGGGAAAAGGCATAGGGAAATAAATGAGGAGGAGCCTGGGATGTGATAATCGGGGAGAAGTGAGTGTGAAACCTGCAGAATTATAGAGGGGTGGTTAGGACACTGCTTAGCAGATTCTCCAGGTGCTCCCCACCAGGGATGAGGCCCTGTGTTGAGGGAAGCATTCTGTACCTGCAGTCATCCTTACCTTCTGTGATCCTTGTGTTCTCTTTCAGGTTGTATACCAGGGTAATCCTTATGCACCTCACAACTCCACACTTTACCTTACCTACAAAACAGGAGTAGAGATGGGATGCTGGGGACTGTGCATCAATGCAATTTCTTCGTCAGTCTATTCTTGTAAGTGCCCATGAACAAACTCCAACACTGTGTTTTGAAACTGTTTGCTATTTGCCACTGTTTAAAAAACATAAAATTATGCCAAATTAACTGTTTTATTTTTTTTCCTCATTAAAACTTTAAGAAATGTTACATTCTCAGCATTGTTAGAAACTCATACCTTAACACAAACAGTTCCTGACCACATGATGAAGGTCACTTTGGGACTAAGACATTGTTCTGCACGTGAACTGTTCATGAACACTGAATATCATCCTGAAGTTAAATGCCAGACTAAATTCTGAGATACTCTTTCGCCCAGCAATGCTACAGCTGTAGGCTCTTGAAGGTGCCTTCTCCCCATTTGCGTGCCCTCTGCAGAAATTCTTGCCAGAAGCTTGTTTTGCTCTCCAAAGTTACGTGTAAACATGCTAGCACAACTCCCCAGATAGATTTCACTGTTACTCTTGAAAAAAACAACCATCAGGGACAGAGAATCCACGGCTTCCCTGGGCAGCCCATTCCAACACCTGATTACCCTCTCTGTAAAGAATTTCTTCCTAATATCCAACCTAAACCTTCCCTGGCAGAGCTTCAGAGCATGCCCTCTTGCCTTACTGAGAGCTGCCTGTGGGAAGAGATCGACGCCCACCTGGCTGTAATCTTACCAAGGATTAAAAAAACCTATTTGTGATCCAAGAACTCAATTAAGTAGCATTTTAGGGGCTGAAATGAGCATCTGAAAGAATCTTAAGGGAAATCTTTTCACTTTTGAAACACAACAGAAAGGCCCTGTGGCCCAGCCAGGGGACTGGACACTTGGAGACACAGCAGGAGACAATGACCCCAGACTTTCGTCTGCTTGGACTGTGAGTGTGTAAGAGCCCAGGGTTTCCTTTCTTCAGGGTCCCTCCTTGAAGGCAGCAGTTCAAATTGTTATCCTGTTGTTACACCATGATTAAATTATTTTAAGGATCCGAACATCTGAGACTCTGCCGTGGGAAACCTGGGATGGAGCATGAAAGGAAACCTGGTGTTGGTGGTGTAGCTGCACAGGGGCCTCAGCCCCATCTTAGGTGGTTTTGAGTGGGACTGTCAGAGTAGTTCCTGGATGGTCAGACAGGGAAGTTTCCATAACATTTTTAAAGTCAGTGAGGGCAGTTCTTCCAGAATAGTTGTTTACTTTTTCTCTGGAGCTGGCTATGACAGAATATCCCCAGAGAGAGCAAGTATTCTTTGTCAAACTTAGACCTACAGTAATTTGAGGCAACTTCCAAAATCAGTAAGATTACCTCCTTCACTTCATTTTACAAAATACAACCCCTTAAAGGAACTCCCTGATGGAATGTGGCCTATTTTGTTTTAGTCTTATCAGCATTCTCACTTTCTTTTCACAGACGTGCAGAAAGTTCTTCTGCCATACATAGGATTAAAAGGACTTTATTTCATCGGATACCTGCTTTTTGGATTGGGTACTGGATTAATTGGCTTGTTTCCCAATGTCTATTCCACTCTGGCTCTGTGTTCGCTCTTTGGAGTCATGTCCAGCACACTGTACACTGTGCCATTCCACCTCATTGCAGAGTACCACAGGGAAGAAGAGGTGAGTGCAATGTCTAAAAAAGTGTAACTTTATGTCTATCTGTGTCTGTTCAGTCTATTTTGGGGGTAAAATGGATAGAAATAATGATAAGCAGCTTTTAATTTTAATTTTAAAACTATTAATGATAACACATATAGTGAATTCTGACAGAGGGAGTTAATGTCCCAACTCCAAACTCTCCAAACAGTCCTGCAATGAGACAAATAATTATTTGTCTCTGACAAACTGAAACAAAGCCAATCACAGTACATGTTCAGGCAATAAGTAGGTAACAGGGTTCCACTTGCATTGCCTTCATGTGCTACCTTCCTTATATCCTTCCTTCCAGGTGCATTAGCAGAGAATTTGATTTACGAGTGCCTGAGGTTGATAAAAATCCTGTAAGGGCTGGCAGAAGTTTTGGCTACTGCAGAGTCTTGTGAAAGCTCTTAGCTAATAAACATATAAAATTCAAAGAGAAACATCTTTACATAGTTCAGTATTTAATCGTATACCACATTCTCATTATCTTTCTAAATGTCTGTGGTTGGGTTTTTGTCCTCCACAGAATAAAATGCTGTTTACAAGGAAAATCTGAAACAGTTTACGCGTCTTGTATCATGTTATTTGGCACAGCAGGATCTTTATGTATTGGAAAGTGTTGAATTCTGTAATGGTAAAGTTGTCTCAAGTCTCTTAAGTTAGTTAGACAGCTGGAGGACTTAGGAGAAGAAGACGTCTGAAAAAATTAATAGAGGAAAATTTGAACCATTGAAAAACCACACAGAAACATAGTTGAGATCGGGATAGGGCTAGATCAAGTGCTGAGGAACTTGTCCTACTGTTTGGTACACCCTTTGAATGATGAACACAATAAACCTGTTCAATTATTCTGTTCTATTGAATCCTAGGAGGATGATGTCTCAAGGGGGTTAAATATTTTGCATATCTAATTCCTAATTTTTCAGTTCATTTCTTTGCTCCTTCCATGATGTGGAGTTTACAAAGGTATAACAAAGGACAGGGATTGAACCCAGTTTAGGGCAAGATCACAATTCTAACCTCAGGCCAGCCACCTCAGAGAGAGGGAAAAAAGGCAAAATTTTAGTCTGGCTCTGGTTCAGAGCATTTCCAAGACAGAAGTGAAACAAAACATGCTGATATGTGCATGAACTTTGTATTTACTTGGCCAATATATTCGAATGTTACTTGTAAGACAGCCAATTGTTTCTTGTTTGGTGTATGGTACTTGCTATGATAGATGTTAAATGATGATCTATGTTAGATTGTGATACTAATGGATTGAGGTTTAGCTTAAATCTTCTATAATGTACAAGATGGTTAGGAAAAAATAAAGAGGAAACATCAAGCACAATATTGCATTTATTTACACATTCATGTGTTTGTGGTCAGAACCACTGGCACATAGGAACACTGGGAATAGCCCAGCAAAATAGATATAGTTTATTTTAAAAAGTGTCTGAAATTGGGATTGTATCATTCCAGAACAAAGCGCAGATATTTTCCCTCAGGATGCATTCTTCCAGGATCATGTGCTGGGTTTTACAGAGTTGCCATTTCAACTCCTATTCTGTGCTGCTGTTCCCTAGGATCTAAATTCAATTTTTTCTACTGGATTAGGAAGAGATTGTTTGTTTCTAGTACTTGTGAGCCTTGAATGGGAATAGCTCAAAGGCAAGATAATAGGTTTTGCAAAAGCCAAAACGCATCTTAATGACCAATGAGCATTTGGCTACCAGAAGACAGCAGTTCTGCTAACCTACAGTGTAGAAACCTGTTGTTGTTACAATACAACCTCCTCTGTTCAACAGCCTATGCAAGAAGAAAAATAAAGATGAAAAGGCCACATAATTTCCCAACAGAACAGCATACGTCCTTCCTGGAGGGAATTTCAGAATAGCTAGAAGTTAGAAGGGACCACCAGAGATCATTTAGTCCAACCTGCTCAAGGAAGGTCACCTGGAGCAGGCTGCCCCAGGTCATGGTTTGGGGCATTTTGGGAGTTTGGGAGTCTCCAAGGATGGAGACTCCACAGCTCCTCTGGTTAACCTGTTCCAGTGATCCACCAGCCTCACAGGGTGCTAATATGCAAGATACTTATACATAATAATGAAGGCTTTTGCTTTGCTATGGGCATCATAGCAGATACAAGGTAATTAGTAGGTAACAATGGTCCTCAGTAGTGTAGAAGAATCCTAGTCTGGATATTTTTTTCCCCAGCAAGAAAAGCATTACATTTAGATTTTGGTACTGAATTCCTTTACGTGCTTTAAGCCATAATTTCAGAGCACATTGCTCCTGTATGTGTGTGGGGATTTTTCTGCAATTCTTTAAAATCTTTGACAATATCCTTCTCTCTAGATTGGTAAGAAGTGGATTTGATGAGTGGACTGTTAGATGGATAAGAAAGTGGTTGCACAGTCACATCCACAGGGGGGTGGTCAATGGCTCAGAGTCCCATTGGACATCAGTGACAAGTGGTGTCCCTCAGGGGTCCTTACTGGGACCAGTGTTATTTAATATCTTCATTAATGACATAGACAAAAGGGATCAAGTGCTCCTCAGCAAATTTGTAGATGACACCAAGCTGAGTGGTGCTGTTGATGCACCTGAAGGACTGAATGCCATCCAGAGGGACCTGGACAAGCTTGAGGTGTGGACATCTGAGAATCACTCATGGTTTAACAAGACCAAGTGCAAGGTGCTGCACTTTGGTCAGGTCAACCCCCGGTACTAACACAGGCTGTGGGGTGAGCAGACCAAGAGCAGCCCTGCTGAGAAGGACTTGGGGGTGCTGGTGGGTGAGAGGCTGGACATGACCCAGCCGTGTGCACTCACAGCCCAGAAAACCAATCCTGTCCTGCGGTGCATCCAAAGCAGGGTGGGCTGCAGGTGAGGGAGGGGATTCTGCCCCTCTGCTCTGCTGTGCTGAGACCCCACCTGGAGCACTGCAGCCAGCTCTGGGGTCCCCAGCAGAAGAAGGACATTGACCTGTTGGAGCAAGTCCAGAGGAGGCCACCAAATTGATTAGGAGGGAGGAGTATCTGTGCTATGATGACAGGCTGAGAGAACAGGGATTATTCGGCCTGGAGAAGAAAAGGCTTTAGTGTGACCTAATTGTGGCCTTCCAGTACCCGAAGGGGACCTGCAAGAAAGGGGACCTTTTACAAGGGCATGTAGTGACAGGACAAGGAGCAGTGGCTTCAAATTGAAAGAAAGTAGGTTTAAATAAGATATTGGGAAAAAATCATTTACTGTTAGCACTGGAATAAGTTGCCAAGAGAAGCTGTGGGTGCCCCTTCCCTGGAGGTGTTGGAGGTTAGGTTGGATGGAGCTCTGAGCAACCTGGTCTAGTGAAGGTATCCCTGCCCATGGCAGCAGGGTTGGAGCTAGATGTTCTTTACAGAGCCTTCCAGCCCAAACCATTCTGTGATTCTATGATGATTCTTTGATAGTATGATATCCCTTTGAGGCTCTCCTTCAGTCGTGAGTTAGAGCTAAATTATCCATAACAGGATGTCCTGTACTGGTAAATGTCAGTTTGACAGAGCTCAAATTGAGCTGAATTTGAAAGAAATGTCTCATTTTTTTGACCAAGTTTCAATTGCTTCCTTGAGAGAAGGGATAGAGGGGAAAACTGCAGATAAGAAAAACCGGACAATTAGGTGGAAATTTGGGCAAGTCATTGTTACTTGTAAAATCTCTGTATTCTGTAACCTCTGTGATACAATAAGGGAAGCAGGGAGCTTTTGACCTGCCCTGCTGTACCTCAGGGTTGTATCAACGCACTGACCAAGAGCTGCACGTTGTCGAAACTGTCCCATCTCACTGGGGTTTGTTTTGTGCTTATTTGCAGAGCCTGAAGCTGCAGGATGGGGAACAAGCAGGAGAGCACGGACGAGGGAAGGGCATTGACTGTGCCGCTCTCACCTGCATGGTCCAGCTGGCCCAGATCATCCTTGGTGTGGGCCTGGGGCTCTTGGTTAGTGTTGCTGGCAGCGCCGTCACTGTGATTTCGGCATCCACGGTGGCTCTGGTCGGCTGCTGCTTCGTTGCTTTCTGTGTTCGCTATGTGGAGTAGGACTGTGAGAAGCGACTGGAAGAAATCTCCCCAGGGGAGTGTTTTCTTTCTGGGTCCATGGCACTGGTGCTGTTGCTGTGCTGACATTGCTGGCACATCCTCCTCTCTTACCTCCTTGGATCGGTTGCAATTCCAGAGCTTTATGAAACGGAGACTTGATAAAACTGGTTGCCTAATGCCTCAGATGCGTACACACACCCAGTGTATTCACATGCTGTGACATGTGACAGTGTGTCTGCCCACGGTATTTTGATGCCCTACATGAGGAGTCATTACGAAACTCCTCAATACCAATTTGTGGAAGTTAACAGATGAAGTATGTGATAAGCTGAAGTAATGTAAAAGGACAGAGCTGGGAAGAAAGTTATTATTTATCTTGTTTTTCAGGTAATTTAAGTTTGAGGCTGTTCCCTCTGGTAGTCAAAACTGCAAGAGGATCAAGCAGGTATCGAAGGCCAAGCAGTGTGCAGTTGTGTTATGATTAGTAGTACTGCTAAAGGGGATCAGTTAATTATCTGCCACGGTTAAAAGCAGGTTTGGGTGTGAAAAATGTGTGGCATATCAAAAAGATTGAAGATAATTGTTTAAAAACATGATTGTAAAGTAATCATCTCATACTGAGTCCTGCTGCTTCAGTATAAGTGAAGTGAAAGTACTAACTAGGCTTGTCAGGAAAGTCTGCCTAAGTCTGCTCTGCAAATCCATGTGTAGGCACCTAAAAAATGTGTCTGTGGGGAACAGCTGCCATTTCTTCCTTTTTTAAAAACTGGTCTCTGAATTTTGATACTGTAATTTAAAAAATAAACTTGGCCAAAGTAAGAATTTGATGAATGGTTGAAAGCCACTTAAATCTTGGCATTGGATATGACAAGTATTTACCTATTTTTCTCTATTTTCTTCATGCATGTAGCTTTGAGTGAAATGGCATTTGCTCTTTGCAGAATATTGTAAATAAATTCAGTTCTGCAAAGCACTATCAGGAATTACTGTACAGTAAATATGTAAGCCCAGTTGTTTGTATTTTATTGCTTATGAAGCTTCATTCTTATTTTTATAATATTGCCAGAGTTTTGGAAATCCTGTATTTGTGAAAGTTATATACTGTATTTATGCTGTGCTTCCTCTGTTCTGAAAACTGTCATATCCATTCACTATGTTTCATGTTAAGCCTCATGAAGAGATCTGCTAATGCAATATTGTTAATGAACACTGGGAAACTACTGCCAAATATGGTGTTTATCATTGGTTGTGGTGGTTTTTTCTTCTTTTTTTTTTTTAATGTTGCACATGTGTAATCAACACTATTCAGTCAAATGCAATGTTGAGCTAATCAGATCTTAGAAGCTCTGCAAGATATGAACTTACAACACTACAAATAAATGGTTAGATTTGAGCATCAAGTGCCTCCAGAGATGCATCAACTTCATCATTTTTCTATGTTTTGAAGAGTAGAGTGAGTCATTTATTCTCAGGAAAACCAGTTTTCCCCTAGTTAAATTCTTATTAATTATAACAAGCCTATGGAAGCCTCACCTACATTTTCTTGTTGATGACTGTGTCCCCATTGTAGGCTCAAAAAGAGGGTCAGTGCATGGCAAACCTCACTAGAGCATCTTCATCCTGCCTTATGAAGAAACTACGTTTTACATTTTCATTTGTTTTGTGGCTCATCATGTCACATCCATGGAAGAAAAAAGACTGAGGAAGATTGAGTCCCTGGACTATGCTTAAAACACTGTGGGTGCTGAGATGGCTGGAGCACAAGGGTCTCAATGAGGACAAACAGGAGAAAGCCAGAAGATGAAGGATTGTTGTCTTCTCAATTCAGTTTATGCCATCATTAACTCACTAACTTCCATTAACCCAGTACCTCCTGGGAGGAAAAATATTTATGGGAAAAATGAGGCTTCTATGAAGCCATAAAAATAGAGGTGATCTGGTTTTATAGGACTGCACCACATAAACCTGTGCTCCAGAAGCTGTGGTTGTAAAGCTCTGATTCTACTGTGAGGCTGGGAAAGAAATTTTGCAATGTTTACCGATGTCTTTGTCAATATTTTCTTTGAGTTTTAATGCCATCTGAACATTAGCATTAAAATGGTCAGTGTTATCTCTGCTCTGTTGCACAAAGAGAACGCTGGCATTGATTCAGGCCCACAAAGTGACTGTAGAGCTGTAGCAATGTAAGAAGAGTTGTGAACCTGCAGAGAGAAGAGGGAGGTGCCCATCATGTATATCAATGCTTTTATTTATAAATGTATTCGAAGAAAACGGTTTCAGAAATTCATATTGCCATCTTTCTTATGAACTTTCCCTTTAAAATCCACTGCAAGCTACGGAAGACAGAACAGATTAGAGTCACTTTTTCTTTGTAAGTCTCTTCATAAAAATGTCCTATATTGCTTCTAAGACTTCAAAACAATATCTTTCTTTATGAATATTTGTCAAAAATAGCAAGCAGACAAAAAATATGTACAATTTGGAAAACAGTGTTCAAACCAAAAAGAATTATGATGGTGCTCATTCTGAAGTTGAAAATGTACTTCAAGTGTTAATGAAAACAATATAAAATGTTAGTAATTCATAAAAGGGGATAAGTAAATATTTCTTTTAGCAATAGAAATGTCACTAATATGTGTTACTAGTATAATGTGTTACTAATAAATGAAAGGGGATAAAATAACTATTTATTTCAGCAATAGAAATGCTAAAATGTTAAAATATTAAAAGTATTGAAGAAGTGTGCTGTGTGCTACTAATTTAAGAAGTTCTACCTTTTCTGTGCTTTTTCATTATTTCTGGACTTGAGCTATCAATATGATCATTTATTGTACTTAATATCAACTTCTGTTGCAATGGTATGAGTATAAAGTTACAAGTACCCTGTGTCCGGTCTTCCCCATCTGGTTTTATTTCCATATACATAAAATCAAATCAATAAAGATCTTCTTTGTATCATGTTTATGCAAGTGATACATTTAGATGAAACACACAGAATCACAGAATGGGTCAGGTTGGAAGGAACCACAGTGGGTCATCTGTCCCAACCTGACCATCCTGTCTGACCATCCCAGAGCACATGGCACAGGATTACATACAGATTTTTAAATATTGTTTGAATGTTTGTTTTGACTATCTCCAGTGAAGAAAACTCCACAGCCTCTCAGTCATCTCTTTTTGAGGCAGAATAGGCCAGGCCCCCTCAGCTTTTCCTTATGAGAGGTGCTCCTGTCCCTTAATTGTCCTTGTATCCTTTTGCTGGACCTGCTAAAAGATGAGATGTCTTGTGATATCCAACCCCTCCTCCCTCCCACTTTGACTAAAGTAGTCATGGCTGAGCAAAATGAGGCAGGAAACAAGCCTACCATCTTATCTCCATGGCATTTTCCTTTTTCTTTCTCCTATGAACATCTGCCTCTTATTCCCATTTAGCAAGCAGTCATGTCATGCAAGTAAAACCTCCAAGGAACTTTTGGTTGTTTTGTTTAGAGGAGTTGGAGTATTAGTAATGTGACAGTTGTTTGGGTTGGGTTTGGTTTGGTTTTGTTTGTTTTCCCCCATCCCTTGAAGCGTTCCTTCTGTGTTTCACAGTGATCTCATTCTTTGACTTGCTTGAAAACAAACAACTCAGAAGGCCTGTGGCAGATAATTTTTTCTTCCAGATAAACTACACAAGTTGGGATGAATCATAAATGTCTTTGCTTTGGGAGAAATCACAGCTTTCACATTGGTGCCCATGAATCACTACCAGTCCCTGCAGCATGTCAAAAGATAGGAAGAATGGTGTAAGTGAATGTGGCAATGGTGACATTTGATATTTCTGAACTGTAGAGGGATTGTTTCATGGAGGAAAACGGTGGAAGCACCTGCTGTAAAATATCTTTGAAGATATTTGAAAATATCTTTGGGCATGATAAAGCTATAAAAAATGATCTTTAAAACAAAATGTTCCCCTCTAAGTTTCCAGCATTCATTTCTCATTCTCTGGCTGCCCCTTCTTATTTATTCAAGAGGCAAATGTTCGGGGTCACTTGTCCAAGACTAAACTGTGAAAAGTGATTTGCAATTTTTATAGGCCCAGATGGGATGCATCCATGAGCGCTGAGCGAGCTGGCAGACATTGTAGCCAGGCTGCTCATAATCATCTTTGAAAGGTCATGGAGATCAGGAGAGAAAACTGATGACTGAGGACTGGGAGAAAGCAAATGTCACCCTGGTCTTCAAAAAGGGCAAAAAGGAGGACCCAGGGAACTACTGACCAGTCAGCCTCACCTCAATCCCTAGACAGATGATGCAGCACCTCATCCTAGAGGCCACCTCTACCCACATGGAAGACAAGAAAGTAATCAGGAGTAGTCAGCATGGACTCAGTAAAGGTAAATCATACTTGACCAACCTGATTGCCTTCTAGGATGAAACAACTACCTGGACAGATGAAGGGAGAGCAGTGGATATTGTTAACCTTGATTTGAGTAAGGCTTTGACACTGTTTCTCACAATGTTCTCATAAGGCAAGCTCAAGTGTGGGTTGGATGAGTGGACAATGAGGTGGATTGAAGTGGCTGAGTGCCAGATCCCAGAGGGTTTGTAAGGGCATAGGACTGTCACTAGTGGTGTCCCCCAGAGTTCTATACAGGGCCCAGTACTGTTTAACTTGTTCATCAGTGACTTGGATGAAGGGGCAGATGCCTCCTCAGCAAGTTTAGTGATGACACAAAGCTGGGAGGAGTGGCCAATACCACAGGGGGCTGTGCAGCCCTTTGGAAGGATTTCAAGAAGCTGGAGAGATGGGTGGAGAAGAGCCACCTAAAGCTGAACAAAGGCAACTGCAGGGTCCTGCACCTGGGGAGGAATAACCCCTGCACCAGTGCAGGCTGGGGGCCAATCTGCTGGAAAGCAACTCTGCAGAGAAGGACCTGGGGCACTGGTGGACAACAAACTGTCCATGAGCCAGCAATGTGTCCTTGTGGCCAAGAAGGCCAGTGTTATCCTGGGGTTCATTAAGAAGAGCATTGCCAACAGGTTGAGTGAGGTGATCCTTCCTCTCTGATCTTCCTCAGCCCTGGTGAGGGCACATCTGGAGTGTTGTGTCCAGTTCTGGGCTCCTCAGTACAGGAGAGACACAGAGTTCCTGGAGTAGGTCCAGTGGAGGGCTACAAAGCCAATCAAAGGACTGGAGCATCTCTCCTGTGGGGAAAGGCTGCAGGAGCTGGGCATGTTCAGCCTTGAGAAGAGGCAACTGAGAGGGGACGTAATCAATGTCTGTAAATACCTGAAGGGAAGGTGCCAAGAGGATAGAGCCAGGCTCTGCTCGGTTGTGCTGAGCAATAGAACAAGAGATTGTGGGCAGAAGCTGATGCACAGGAAATTCCACCTGAATATGAGGAAGAACTTTACTGAGCCAGTGACTGAACACTGAAACAGGTTGCCCAGAGAGGGTGTGGAGTCTCCCTCATTGTCGAGATATTCAAGAACCATCTGGACACCATCCTGTGCAATCTGTTCTGGGATGACCCTGCTTGAGCAAGAAGGTTGGACCAGATGACCCACTGTGGTCCCTTCCAACCTGACCCATTCTTTGATTGTGTGAATTCTGTTGCCATCTGCAGTGTATTCAGTTTCGTACATTGCTCCTTTAGATGGACAATGTGTTAAGCAGTTGCATTTCCTAAATTTTCTTACTGGAAATGAAAATTTTACCTCCTGTGTATTAATATTTTACCTGTGCACTAAAGATAGTGACTTCACATCATGCAGAGACTTCAAACCAGAGACTATTACCATGTGTTGCTTCAGGTAAGGGCTTGCAGTCATAAGAGGGTAAAATTCAGTGCTTTCTACTCTGCGAGGCAGGTTGGACAGAGAAAAGCGGATCCTGTCTGACACATTTTCAGCGGGAGACATCTGTGACGTTTTCTGAAAAATGGAGTTATCCCGGTTTTTTGCACGGACAATTTCCCGAGGCTTTGTGGGCTCCAAGGAGGAGCGGCCGCCGTGCTCCCTCCACCGAGGGGTCCTTGCGTGCCCCCTGGTGTTCAGTTACATTATGGCACCTCTCCCGACCGAGAGGGACTGTGCCTGCTTTTTCCACCTTGCCCTGGAGTTTCCCCACAGTGATGCGCTGCTGCAGTTCAGTTCTCTCGGTTTTTTTTTTTCACGTGCAGACGACAAAGGAAAGCCGCCTGCTACCAGCTATAACCCAGCTGCCTAATGCAGTGACAGCACTGCGCTGTGGACATGCGGTGGTAGGAGACCCCCCACACCGAGGACATGCTCAGCATCAGACTCCTGGCAGAATCTGGCCTTTGAAGCCTTCAGTGCTAGTGCCAAGGGTCAATCCTGTACTGCAGCCAGCCCCCGAGTTTTTGGCAGGCGAATTTTTGTTGCATTGGTTGCCAGCAGGTGAGGTGCATCACGAGGCAGGGACAATTGGTCACACAGAGAGGCAACACCTCTCTGTTTTCAGGGCCCCTCTGCTTGTTAGGGGCTGAGGAGTAGACACGAAAAATACCAGAAATGTGGAGTCCAAGATGTGACAAGAGGGTAAGGAGAATATTCTGGCAGAGATGCCTTTTGTTAAAGTCTGGGAGCACTAGCCTGGAATTGCATGGCTGGCAGATCACTATAGAAGCGCAGATGTATCTCAAATGATTTGGGATTTTCCAACATTCATATTTTTTTTTTTTTAGTAAAATTAATGCTATCTTGCAATGCAATTTCCAGTTTACTCAGTTCACAGAGATTTTGAGAGCTGAAGTACTTGTTTCTTTAATACGTGCTGAAAGTCCAATCCCAACAAGTGGGCCTTCAAGAAATATATCCCAAATATCGACATAATGTTGCAAAGCATGGCAATAAAACATAAAATAAAGCTGTTAGAATTGATTCTCTCTGAGATAAAGATGGTACTTTATTAAAGCATGATGTTCTTTCCTGAACAGGAACTTTGCATTTTGGAATATTTTGCTTGAAATGAATTTATGTCAAATGTGCTCAAAATTCAAGGTTTCAGTCTACACTGACATCTCTGAAAATGTAACCCCAAATGTGGAATTTAAACTATATTCTTCTTTTCACCATCTATGATTGACTGTACGGATTGAGGAGTTACTTAATACAATGCTGTTGGATCTCTGCTACTTTCAGTTCAGGAGCTCATGGTCAGTTCTCTACCTCTATCTGCATCACTGGATTTGCCCATGAAAAAGGGAATGGAGTTCAGCAGGAAATCACTTGTGATGGGCAAGAGGAAGCCTATATTTCCTCTGAGCCCTCTCCACAATTTTGGCAGAAATAAAGAGCAATAAAAACATATTTGAAATCATTTAATAGATGGTTTGAAATACACAGTAGTAGGTGACCTGGGGGCATAAAATTTTTAGAGATTTTTCAGAATAAACATCGAGCAAGACAGACACGTACTAATCCTACTGTTTTGGAACAGAGATAAAGAGCAATTTATTTGTCATCACAGAATCACACATAAGCACAGAATAGTTGGAGTTGCCTCTGGAGATGACCCAATCCAAGCCCCCTGCTCAGCGTAGAGTTGCTAAAGCAGGCCAGTCAGTGTCAAGTCAGATTCTGAGCATCTCCAAAGCTGGAGACTCCACAACCTCTCCAGGCAACCTGTTCCAGTGCTTGATCACACTCACCACTAGAAAGCTGGGGTGTTTTTCTTACATTTAAATGATATTTATGGAATTTGTGCCTATTGCCTCTTGTCCACATTCCCTGGGCAATACTTGGAAGAGTCTGATTCCAGCTTCTTTAGTCCCCACCCACATTAGGTATTGATATACACACACTGATAAAATCCCCAAGCCTTCTCAGGTCCAGAGTGAATAATTCCAGCTCCATCAGCCTTCCCTAACATGGCAAATGGTTCAAGCCCTCTGTCATACTGAAACTTCTCTGGTAAGTAAACCAGAACCAGGCAACTTGCCCAGAACTGGACACAGTATCTCAAATATGGCCTCACCAGCCTGAGCAGAGGGGGAGGATCCCCTCCCTTGATCTGCTGGCAGTGTTCTGCCTAATGGAGCCCAGGATGCTGTTGGCGTTTGCTGCAAGGGCACACTGCTGGCTCGTGTTCCCCTTGTCCACCAGGATCCCTAGGTCCTTCTCTGCAAAGCTGCTTTCCAATCAGATTCCAGCCTGTACTAATGCAGGAAGTTATCCACCCCTTCCCCCACTGCAGGACTTTGCACTCCCTTTGTTGAACTGCCTGAGGTTCCTGTCAGCCCTTTTCTCCAGCATGCTGGGGACCCTCTGAATGGAGGCACAACCCCCTGGTGTACCAGTCACTCCTCCCAGTGCAAATATGCTGAGGGTGCATCCTGTCCCATTGTCCACATCTTTAATGAAGGTGTTGAACAGGGCTGGCCTCAGTACTGATCTCCAGGGCACAGTCACTGCCCTCCAGCTGGACTTTGTGTTGTGAATCACAACACTTTGCACCTACCATTTAGTCAGTTTCACTCCGACTCACTTTCCACTCACTAGTCCATAATTGATCTGTTTGTCTACGAGGATGTCATGAGAGAGAGCATCAAAAGTCTTATTTATGTCAAGATAAACAACATCAGCTGCTGTCACCTCAACTGCCAAGCCAATTGTCTAATCAGACATGGTTTACCAGCTTGGTCAGATATGATTTCCCCATCATCTCAACTCTAGGATAATTGTTGGTGGCAGTGAATGGATAACGAATTTATTATCTCAGTTTTAGTATTTAGCCTGAAAAGAAAATTGAAGGTATTTGATTTTCAGATCTCTTTTCTAAGCTGATCAGACTTCTGCACAAGCACAGAAACAAGTTGTTTTTCTACAAGATTCCAGTTTTATCCAGCATGCTGTTAGATGTGACTGCTGAATGGAAGTGGAAAGGTTCATTGAACAATGACTCTAGAAGAAAGTATTGAATACCTAATTTGATCACTGTGCAATTGACTATACTCATTCAGCTGGTCTCTGCAAGAAAAAACACAGGTGGAGAAATAGTATTTCACTGTCCCAAGGAATGGATGAGTAAGGGAGGTATCTGAGTAATCTACCTACCTTTATTATTTCCCACAATAATAGTAAGCAGTCCTTGCCAAGCAGGTAGACCAAGGTTTTCAAAAATCTGTAAACTCAGTAAAGTGCTTTTGTCTCCAGCTCACTTTTTGGCCCAGTTTGCTCAGCCATTCTGTAAGTCCATATTTTACAGGTAAGATTTTGGGAAGGACTCTGAGGCTATGCACGAACATAGGCTAAGAAATCTGCTTACATGTGTCAGCAGCTACACTTTAGCATAGGACTGAGTTAACTGAGGTTTTTTAACTGCTTAATCATGGTAAAAAGGTATTTTCAATAACCTTCTTTGAATGGAAAAAGAAGAAATCTGTTCTGAAGCAGCAGAGAAATAACCTTCGCTAAAAAAAAAAGAGGATCTAAGCTCTTAAGTCCTTGAGCTGCACCTCACCATAGCTATGTCTGCTCAAGCTCAGGGGTACGAATTAGATCAGAGCTTCAGTGCAGGCATTCAATTGAATAATCAAGTTTAGAGTGGACAGTCATGAATGAGAATGAAGGAGACTAGATTTTTTTTTTTTTTTTTACTGCTAAGGTGAATGCCAGAATAACGCACTGAGAAATTGAAAGGGTATTTCTACTGAGGAGGGAAACCTGGAATTGCAGTGGAGGTTGTTATTACATTAAGAGCTTGGTTAGTTATTTAAGGGGCTGAGGCATTTAAAAAAGCCCTTCAGCAATCAAAGTTTTTGCCTAATGAGAATATCCAGTCTTTAAAGATTCTTTCAGTTTGTCACTAGATGTCAGCCTGCACCTTCGGGTCCCTATTGTTCTGCAATGATGTGCATCTCTCTACCAGCGCCCCACCAGCAGTCTGAACATGGCAGGAGACCAGTCACAAAAACCTCTTCAAGGACTCCCTAAGTATTGTTTTGTATCCTTCAGCTGTGTTTATTTTAGTCCATGAAAAGGTGATTGTTACAAACGAAGACATGAACATTAGTAGGAAACAGGAGCATTTGTGAAGCATGTTGTCCTGATTACTTAGGAAACTAATGGATACCCAGTAGGATTTGTTGCTGTTGAGCTGGGAAGACCCTCTGCTGAGGCCACACACCTGATGCCGTGTGCACAGTCAGAGTACCTTCCTCTCAAGGGCCTGGTGGGTTCCCCTGCCTGTGCAGCTCAGAGCCTGGATTTCGTGCTCTGTTAGCTGAGATTCACAGCACGTGTGAAGCGGAACTTCTCTCTGCTTAGGCACAGCTAGAGCAGTGCTCTTTGGCCATGCTGGACACACACTGACCTGCACAGCCTGAGCTGCTGGTCCAGCCTAAACCAGCATTTGGTGTGGATGGGTTGTGCCTCTTTCAAACAGCAGATTCCTGGCCTGGTGGATCAGCAGCCTGAGTGAGAGCTGCCCCTTAAGTCTCTACACACCCGAGGTATTTTCCTGTTTGGGTGATTTGGCAAATGTAATGTTTTTATGTCTGTAATGCTCAGACACCTGGGGTTTCCTCAGGGAATGGTACCTTGATAGTATTCTGGGATAACTATGGGTTGTTTTGAACTCCATCTATTTTACTGTGTTGTTTTGCTGGCATAACATTATGTCTGCATTGACATCCACAAAAGGCCATGGGTTTTGCCACACTGAGCACCACAGAAGATGTCTTTTAGGTAGTTTGCTATCTACTGAAATTCACAGTCATGCTTTAGACACTTGGATAGCTCTTTATTTAAAGCACAAGAACATTTAAGCATCAGATAGAGAATAAATTCCCAGCAAGTTAAGCAAGAAATTATGCTGTTCAAAAGCAAACAGTAAGAAGTGCATCTGGCTGTGAGATTCCTCCTGTATCCTTAATTTAGATACTTTCTCCTGGCCTACAGAGACACTGTATATCTCTCTGAATTCTGGACTTAAGAGTTCCTGGTATCTTTTTCTCATCCAACTGTGCAGCTTTCTTCACCTGCAGCACAGATGTTAGAGCTTTCTCTCAGAATCCGTGAGACCCAAATGAATTTTTTGCAAATCCTTCAACTCACTAGCCTGTTATACCTGTAGAAAGGCCTCAGATTCTTGCACAGCATACTGAAAAGTTAATTGGACCAGGACCTGGGAGCAAGTTAAGCATTGTTCTTGGAAAGTGGAGACCTAGAACCCAGACCTGGATCCAATTTCTCTTCAGTATTTACAGGGAATTGAGACAATTCCTCTTTGGAGATTACACCCTAACCACTATGCTGCCAGGTAGTGTTTGAGGGCTTACTTTCCCCCTTCTCTTCCAGCAACAGTGAGCAATTCATGCAACAGGAAACAGAGAGTTTGAGCACATTCATGAAGTAGCCCAGAGGTTCAGTCATTCCCCTGGGAAGCTGGATCTCTCAGGCTGTATGTGAGAGTTATCCCCCCTAATTCAGCATTTCAAACAGGAAGAGGAAGGAGCCTAATCTGCAGACACACACTGAAGGTGGGACTGAAGAAGCACATCTAGACATAGATTCAAAGGGATGGAGGAAATGAGTTAAGTTTACAGCCTCTCCTGACTTAGTGTGGCATGGCACAGTGTCTCCTGTGTCAGGATGCAGAGTTGCCTCCCTCGCAGGATATACAGTGTGGTCAGTCCCAATAGAGATATCCCCATATCTGTATGAGCACAGAGATAAGTGCTACAGAATTAAGCTGATTTAGGCATGCTCAGGAGCAGATTTCTAAGCACAAAAAAATTTCACTAGAAAAAGCTTTAAGTACCTATAGACTTACACTGATAGCCAAGCCAGGATTTAGGAAGTCAGAGAGGCAGTTGTACAGTACTCAGATGCTCAAGTTCTTCTGTGGATATATCTGATCTCTTCAGAGTCTTTGCATCTGTGTAAGTATGCCCATCAGCTGGCAGCTCATTTCTCTTCTTCTTCTCCAGACACCTTGGAAATAAGCATCTTCCTAGTTAGCAAGTGCCCAAGGCTGTAGAAGTTTCGTCTGCCTTGAAAAAAAAAGCTTCCCCTTACAAGTAGCAGAACCAGCTGCTTTCAGACCAATCCCAAATTTTATAACAAGAGTTACCAACATGTGCAGTAAACAGAATCTGGAAACTATAATTGCCACTAACGGCACTTCAGTTTTCTCTGGACAGAAACAGCAAGTTTCTTCCACATCAGTACTGAATCAACCCTCTACATAAACACATTTTTAGCAGTCAGGCAGATGTTGGAGTTAGACTGCAAGGAAAGGGACTGGAAATAGAAAGGAGTTTTGAATATCCTATTTAAGTAATCATCTCACACGTAGTATAAGGAATTAATGAACTTGTGTTCTGTAAACAAAACCAGAACTGTTGCATTTCTCCATCTTTTAAAACAAATATTTTGACCTTTACATTTTAAATTATTTTTTCCTCATAATTAAAAATAAAATTTAAAAAAGTAAATATGTAGCCTTACCATAAAAACTTTCACAGCTTAAAAATACACTTTTTCATCCCCATAAAAGTTCATTTCAGATCACCTCAAATTATTTCCTGGGTGTTTCTCTGGAACACAGACTGGGTCCGGCATTGTCCCTGACATTCTCTAGGCTACAAAAGTGCTGACCTGCAGGCCCCAGGGCTGCTCAGCTGAGAGGAACTGAACTGGAGTTAACTGAAACACTGGCAAGTGTCAGTGCAGACCCTTAGCAAAACAAAAGCTATTGTACTTGGTTTTAACTGAACCCAGAAGTATCCCAGGGCAAGTGACGTGAAGTGTCTAAGATTGTTTCTTTTTCCCCTGTTTGCTTTATTATTATTATTATTATTTTATTTACAGTTGTGCTGGTTTCCTGAAGTGAAATATGAACAGTCTGAAGTGCAGCAAGAATAAAGCCTGCAGCCTCAGTGCCCTGGGAAAGATGCTGGCTTGCTCCACATTGTCTTGAGCAGTGAGGTCTTCCCCCAGCAGCCTGGAGAGAGCCTGGGGAACACGATGTCACGGGATTCACATCCTCCCCTCTAAACCCAGGCAAAGCAACACCTCCCCATCAAGATGCAAGTTCTGTCCTTGGGTTTCTGCTTGGCTGTCTGGGTTGCTCTATATCCTGGCAGCTGCTGAGGGGTTGAAGGTAGCTAGGAAAACATATCCTGCCCAGATCTGGAGGGAAGCACAGTGCCCCTTGTCCCCTCTCTTTCATAGGTGCCTCAGAGAGGAGAAAGGGGCTAAGCCTTAACAACAGGAGCCCTGTACCCACTTGTCCTGGCTGTTCCCATTAGGGCAGGTTTGAAACAGGACACAGGCTGTCTGATCCCTGTGCCCGCACTGGAGCCCAGGGAGCAGTGACCACAGTCAGGCTGGCACCTTTTTCAATGTCCCTCTCCCTGCCACAGTCAAACACATGGAGGGGAGGGCTGCTGGCCTCTTGCTGCTTACAACTCCAACCCAGGGGGACACAGTCAAGGCCCCCCAGCCTCACTCCACCCCACACAGCCACTCTACTTCCTGTGGTACTTTACAAATCCTGCATCTTCCCTGGCTGGAGTAACCATCACCCTCTCCAGTTTCTGTGACTCAGAACATGTACAAGCACTAAAAGGTATCTCCTAGAGACACCTCACCTTGCCTCCTTCTGCTCCTCTTTTCCAGCTTGGGGTGTGTTTTCATCAAGCGTCCAAGGGCAGACACAGCCGCAGAAGAGCATCTCTCACGCAGAAGTCCTCCTTCACCCATCCCTCCTCCCCTCGTCCCTGGCAAGGCGTTCAATATTTCAGGGCCACACCTTTCCCATAGCCCACAGTCCCACCCCCCGGAGCCCCCTGCTGGTCTCAGCAGCGATGCTCCATGGAGCTGGCAGGCAGGAGGTCACAGCGGCTGTTGTACATCACCACCCCGGGAGGGTAATAGGCCACCTCCGGCTGGATGGCGGCAGCAGGGGAAGCAGCAGTGACAGGGTGGACAGGCACAGGCACCAAGGCATGCAGGGCCTGCTCCTCCTTCTCAGGCTTGGTGGTGTCAGTGAAAGGGCGCATGGCGGTGAGGGAAGGTGAGGTGATCTTCCAGAGGAGGCTCTTCAGTGCCTTGCGAAACTCCCTGCGCATGAGGCAGTAGAGGATGGGATTGAGGCAGCTGTTGGAGTGTGCCAGGCACACGCTGATGGGGAAGAGGTACACTTGGGAGAGGAAGTACTCATTGCTGAAGTGCACCACGTTGAGTTTGATGAGTATCCCCCACGTTGTAAGTGCTTGATTAGGCAGCCAGCATAAGAAGAAAGACAACACCACGATGGACACTGACCGAGTCACTTTGGAGCGGCGCTTGGTGCTGGGGCCACTGCAAGTGCTGCCAACGTGCTTACCAGTGATGAAGCGGACCAGGAGCAAGTAGCAGAGACAAATGATGACCAGCGGCACCACAAAGCCCAGCAGCACCTTCTGGATGTGGTACAGACCCAGCCAGAACTGCCCATTGCTGCCTTGGCCCTCTGGGAACTTGACAAGGCAGAGAACATCATCAAAGACAGTGGCAGTAGTGGAAAAAATGGCATGGGGCAGGGAAGCCAGGACAGCTAACAGCCAGATGAGTGCACAAAGCCACTTGACAGAGCAGCAGCCACCCAGGGGGTCTCCTCGACGCTGATTATTCAAGGCTGAAGCCACAGAGCGGTATCGAGCCACACTCATGGCAGTGAGAAAGAATACACTGGCATACATATTCATGGCTGTCACATATGAGACAATCTTACACATTGCCTTGCCAAAGAGCCAGTTGAAGTCTAGTGCGTTCTCCACCGCCCAGAATGGTAAAGTCAGCACAAACTGGAAGTCAGTCACTGCCAGGCTGGTCACAAAGAGGTTGATGGAGGATTTTCTCCAGCCTTGCTTGCTTTTCATCAGGTAGAGCACCAGCAGGTTGCCCACCAGCCCCAGAGCGCACACCACGGAGTACACCAGCGAGATGACAATCCGCACCACGTCAGAGTTGTCTCCCTGCATCCCATCAGCTCGCTCCAGGTTGATGTTCTTGAGCAACTGCAGGAAGGACACGTTGCTCCTGTTGTCCATCTGAGCGCCCTCCAGGAAACCCAGCGGCGCGTCCCAGGACTCCCGGTCCGCTCCTTCTTTCATGCCAGCGGCCGGCGAGGAGGCACCGCGCTCGCAGGGCTCGCCCATCCCATGCTAGGGTGGGAGACGTGTCCGCGGGAGATTTTTTTCCCCCAGAAGCAGACCGGCAGAGGCAGCGGGGACAGGGCACGGGTTGTTTCCGGCTGGATGGACGGCACAGCTGCTCGTGGCTGGGTGGCACGGCTGTTCCCGGCTGGAAGGACAACACTCCTGGCGCCGCTCCCGCTCCGCGCCGCGCTTATATCCGCGCCGGCGGGGCCGGGGCATGCGCGGTGGGCGTGGAGCTCTCCCGGGTGCTGAGCGCGGCTCCCCCGCTCCCCGACCCGCGGATCCCGGCGGCTGCTCCCCACGGATCGCCCCCGTCCCGTCCCGCCTACCTGTGAACCAGCCGGGCGGAGCGTTCCTGCGGGCTGAGCTCATCAAGCGCCCCGCCAGAGGCGATGCCCCCTCCGCCCATGAGATTCCCCCCACCCCGATGTGATACCCCCGATGTGCGCCCCGTGGGTCAGCTCCCGCAGAAAACCCCAACCTTCCACCCCCTGCGCAGGGAGCAACTGCTGGGGGCGAGTCGCAGCTCCGCCGAGCCGCAGGGTGAGCCCCGAAGCTGAGCTCCTACGCCTGAGAAAACTCTGCACCAAGCCGGAGCGCGCCTCGCCATCCCCAGAATGACCATGTTCCGAACGGCGGCTGACAAAAGCCTCTCCTGCTTTTGGGACGTCGGGAGACGGTGGCTCTCCCTAATTTTAAAACGAACGGCACGTACAACGAAGCTGTAAAGTCCGGCTGGTTGTGGTACGCAGTGCTTGGGCAAAGGGAAGAGAGGGAGCAGCCGGTTCCCCCGAGGGGGAGGCGGAGGGGAGGTCGCGGGATCCCACCCGCAGGGGGCCCCGTCGCGCCGGGAAGCGGCGGCCGCCGGCCCCGGCCCCATCCCTGCCGTGCTTGGGGCCCGAAACTCACCTCCCCACCAAGTCTGCAGCAGAAAGATAAAGCAACCGATGGGAATAAGGAACGGAGGTTTGCCTTCTCCTCTCCTGTTTTTAAATAAACCAAGATAACTGCTCATTTCGAAAACCAAATAGATTCTAAATATATCTAAATAAAGCACTGTGAATCAGCCATCAGGGGAAGATTAACGGAACATTTAACAAGTAAATTATTTCTCCATTGATTTATCTCACTGAACTTCCTGCACACATCATTGTGTGCCATTTGTTGCCAGCAGTCCACTCATCACTTTGGTTTATATCTACAGAAACCCTGTAAAAGTATCAGCCAGATCATGGTATGAGAGTTTTAAAGGGGGACAAGAGTAATTAGTAAGTTTTATATATCATTCATATTACATATAATGAATATAATTACCAAATTATGCAATGCTCTGGGAAGACAGCCTCCAGATTACTTGCTATACTAAACATATTGGTATTAGAATGACATATTAAATTAAAAAAAAAAAGGACCTTCAGAAGCCTGACTGCAGGAACCATTGAAAAATGGACTCCTGACATTTCTTCCTGTCATGGTTTAACCCCAGCCAGCAACCAAGCACCACATAGTATTCACTCCCCCATCAGAGGCATGGGGAAGAGAACTGAAAGGGTAAAAGCTAGAAAACTCATGCGTTGAGATAAAGACAGTTTAATAGGGAAAGCAAAAGTCTGCTCACAAACAGAGCAAACCAAGGAATTAATTCACAGCTTCCCATGGGCAGGCAGGTGTTCAGCCATTTCCAGGAGACAGAGTTCCATCACAGTTATTTGGGAAGACAAAATCCATCACTCCAAACATCACCGTCTTCCTCCTTCTTCCTCCCACTTTAATTACTGAGCATGATGTCACATGGTCTAGAACATTCCTTTGGTCAGTTTGGGTCACCTGTCCCAGCTGTGTCTTGTCCCAGCTTCCTGTGGCCCCCCAACCTCCTTGCCAGTGTGGCACTATGAAAGGCAGAAAAGGCCTTGGTTCTGTGTAAACACTGCTCTGTAATTACAGAAACATCTCTACATTATCAACTTTGTGTTCAGCACAAACCAGATATACATACCAACCACTGTGAAGAAAATTAACTCTACCCCAATTGAATCCAACACACTTCCACGCTTTCTCCAAATTATGGATTTTTTTTCCTAGGTTCCCATACCTCTTAAACACTGACTAGGGTCACATTCAGGAGGCATTTTCAATGGTAAGGCATTAAGCTGCATCTCTTAGCCTGCTGAATGGCAACAGTTCCTCAAATTCTCTCATGGAAAGGAAAGCATCCTTGTTGTGAAACTTGACAATCCCATCAGTCCCACCAGTGTTGCACTCAACTGTAAAACCGTGTATGTGGAAGAGAAAGCCAAGGATCCTTCAATGGTAGTGGAACAACCACAAAAACAAGCAAAGGGAAAACACTGAGTTTCAATCAGAGCTGCAGCACTGCAGAGGCTCTGTAAATAGTGCAGGAGGTGAGGTGCCCGCCAGCCCCCTGCAGTGATAGCTGCCTTGGCACTAGTGTCAGCACTTATCCAAAACCAGGGTTAGTAATATATTTGCAACAAGCAAGTTCACGTTCAATTTTACCTCTCTACTCGGTCCTGCTACCATTAACTCACAAGGTAAAAAAAAAAAATCTGGAATCGAGTCATACAGAGGCTATGATTCGTTCACTTGGTGAATCATTAGCGAGACTGACAGTGCAGAAGTGGATTTTTTTCCACATTGAATTCTGCCCCCATTTCTCATCACATTGCAAGCTCCACACTCAATTTTAAATATTTTACTGGAAAAATTGCAGTAAGCATATCTTACATAGAATAATTTCTTCTAACATTTATTCTGCTCAGCACATTTTTTTGATACATAACAGAGGCTGAAAAGTAACAATCATTCAGAAAGGTTAGGAGGATGGAAACAATGCCCAAAGATACATTACTTTTTCTCTTAGTCACCCAGAGAAAGCCACAAAGTGTGAGGACTGAGGTATCTCACAGGAACACACTAGCAGTGAACTTTAAACTCAGGGCTGCAAGTGTGAAATGTTTGTCCAAGGTTTCTGCTCATATTTTGAATGCCAGACAAATTCCTTTTTAGCCTTGGGTGGAGTTTATTTTTATTTTTTCATTCTTCATCTTAGAGAAGTTTTAGAGGCAGGTAAGGAAACTTGCTACACCTAGATGAATAATATAGGAAATATTTAATGAATAATTTAACACATTGCCAGAACACTTCCATAGCTGGAAAAATGTTAAAAAACCCATCAGTTACTTTCAAAAATTATTGCCAAATTCATCAGATACAGTACCCAAGGCTCAATGTTCCGGAAAATATTGTCTTCGTTTGTTCCCTATTCATTTCACCAATGCTGCCAAAGGCTTGTTGCTAATATGTAACTTTTCAGGCTCTTCTTTTTATCAAAGTGTCAGTGTAACTGGTGTTACTGACTCAAACCTTCTGAAAACTAAAATAAACTTGATAGGCATAGGCTTTTGTGATGTATTCTGGTGATAACTGTGAAAAAATGGCTGATTTGTTTATTTTGGAAATCTCAAAAAGATCCTGCAGGGTTTCTAAGAGGCTTTTTGGGGTATATATAGTATTATGCTAAAATAATTCAAGGAGTTGAGGTTGCTAGATTGCCTGCAGACAGGATCCATCAGCACAGTAAACTTAAGAAGCTTTCACCAGTTCAGATCACCAACAGAAGCTGCGCATTGATTCTGACCATATTGTATCACAGATAAAAGAATCCCTGCAGGTGTTTCTAAAATAGCATTTAAAAATGTTTCAGATAAATAAGCAAAAAAAACCCTCCCAACATCTGCCGAAAATTATAATTTTCCTCCAATTCACCCTAAAGAATTCCTATAATTTTTCAACCCCTTTACAGACCTTGTACACAAACTACAATTTTTCGCTACAATTTTGGTATAATTTTACTACAATTACAACAGTGACTGAACCACCTGGACTGCTCTTCTGAAATGTTTTGCCAAGGGAGATGGGTTTCTGTTTTCAAAATAAAGTCATTTTTGTAGTTTATAATAGATTATTGAAATGTTGAATATATCACTTAACATGGAAACATGGGACTATTTCTCTGGGTATTTTTATAGCATGAAGGGATGTTTAATTTTTTTTTTTTTCTATTTGACATGCTGAAGTAAAACTAATAGGAAAGCTCTTGAACAGATTTCATTAAAAAGAGTAATATATATTACTGTAATGGGTTTTACATTATTCTTAAATGATGCATTCTTGCAATTGCATTCTGTTTATGAATAATTCTTTTTATGGCATTTTCTTTTCATTAAAACAAAATTCTGGAGGAACAGAAGGAAACAGGAAAAGGAAATTTCACATTTGTTTATTTTCTCAGTTCCGATTTCTGGAATCCATATGGTCTCCCTTTGGCTTTTTATGAGCTGAAGGCTACAATCTCATGCTTTTGACTAAATTCAGACAATAACTGTTACATTTTGATCTACATTTTACAACTCTACTTTCTCCATCCTGGGAGTGAAGGTGTGGTGTGACTTGGTGTGGGAAGATTTTCATGGTAATGTTTTTATTAAAATTGTAGTAGGAAATGTATAGAGGTTTTCATTACAAAATCTCAGTTAGATATCAAAAGGATCATACAGTGCTTCATGCTATGCTTCATGAACCACAGACATATCCTCAAGAAAGTATTATTTGGACACAGAAGTAAATTTTAATTCAAGAAATCCCCAAATCAGTTTAATCCTGTTCATCTCCTCCCATCATTTGTCTTCTAGACAAACCACTGAGAACATATTTTTGTGGCATGAATTTTCATTAAAAATTAATTTCAATGTGGCCTGTTGCTCCAGAAATATGCTTTTAAACAGTTAATATGGATAGTATGACAAATGAGTTTTTAAATTCACATAGTCCAACAACAAAATTACAAATTTGGGAATTAGCTCACCACTTAAAAATAGCAATCAGTGTTTGAAGATTGATCAGGAATTTGAGTGTGAACCTCCCAAAAAATTTCATTTAATAGAATCACTGACTACTTTACAGTTTGCTTCATTCTAATACTTGGATCTGCCCACAGACATACCATAAGTGGAATGTCAGCAAATATTTTTTGCATGAGTAACTTATGAAATTCCAAAAATCTTTAAAACTATAATGAATTGGAAGTTGAGGGATCCAACAGTCTCTAGTTCAGTTACCAATAGTTAGCTATGTTAAGA